CCCCTCGCCAACCCTTACCCTAATATTAATTAAATATTAAAAAACATATAAACACACCTGGCTTTAGCCATCCCCCAATTAAGAAATGTTCTAGAATGAAGTTTTGGCACATAACTCGCGCGATATTGTACGAGATATGTGAAATGTATGCTATGTTTATCTCTAATCAATATGCAATTTAATAAAATCTGATATTTTGAAATATCGAACAAATCATTTTTTTATTAGGCGACAAATATTATATAAAATTATAATATTGTATTAAAATATTCACGAAAAGCATGGTTGTTAATAGGATGCCAATCATGTAATTATAGAAATAAAGATCGGTAATTTCTCATTTTATTATCATACAATCATTAAATACGGGTGGATTTCATTTTCTCGATATCCATTTTACCTACAGCCATTTAACCGATATCATATAGTCTAGGGTTAGCATTTTATTTAATATTAATAGATGCGGTTAAATAGCTTTTAAATTAAATGCTATCGGCAAAACGTGGTGAATCTATCAAAACCTATCATTATCGGTAACCCGACAATTATCTGGTATAACTTTATTAAATCTGTGATCCTTTTACATTAAACTGCTATTCAATTCCATAAATGCTTCGCAATAGTTAATAAGCAAGTCAGCATTATTTGTATTAGTATTAACATAGTCAAAAATATCATCAACATTAGAACGTTCAACGTAACCATCACTGATAATTTTCCTTATCACTTCAGTTTTCAAGTCGGCTATTTCGTAATAATCAGATGCTATCAACAAATCTAGTAGAATAGATAATTGTCTTGTCTTTTCTTTAACAATATTTTCATCTTGATTATCGTAATAATCATTATAATAATCCTCAGTTCTGCTACTAATATTATTAAAGATATTGTTATCTGAATTATTTTTTATAATAGCCATATCAAGTGGCATAGCATATAGATATCTTAACAAAACCGTAAATGATTCAGGATTGATGGCACATATTGGAATTTTTGCTATTTTATACGGATCGCCATCTCTATAATCACTTGAAAATGCAATCTTGAAACGATTTGAAGCTGCTGCAAGTACATATCTATTTGCGCGAATCTCACCATATTCAACTGTAAAATTTTTCCATTTTTCTTTCAAATCATCATTAAAATCTTGGTCATCTTGGTCTACAGTAAATATTACATCATTAAGTGAATGTTGTTCATCCAATAATTGTTGAAGTGACTTTACAAGGTTTATGGACCTAATATTCATATCATCGTTATTTTGTTTGACTTGAATATAATCATAAATATTAGGCCTTATTATTTCACCGGCCCCTGCAACTTTCAATAAATTTTTGTACTTTACAAGAGTAGGTTTGATAAAGTTTTGATCCAACCGACTAGTGCCAATAACTAAGCTATCTGCTGATACCCAATTTGATTCATCAAAAATATTTTCACCTAGGTACATGTTTAAAAAAATTCTTTCACCTTCATAAAAATCTGACTCCGTAAGAGTATACTCGGTACATTCTTCGTTGAGTGTAGTATAGATATCATCAATAACCTGTTTTAGAAGACGTTCTTCAGGCATCCACTGTTTAGAATTTATTAAATTCGAGGCTACCTCACGTAAGTGTTCAAGAACTATGTCGGCACGAGGCTTTCCAAAATTCTTAAACTTTTTGAATATTGATGAAGTAGAACTTGGAACTACGCTACTATGAAATATTGGCGCTTGTGTAAAAGCTTAAAAAGAAAATTTGATAATAAATGATAAATTCAAAAGGATTAAAAATGATTAAACGTGTAATTTATATTTTAATTAAATTATTTACCTATTGTTTTATATTTAGGTAAGCACAATGTACCAAAACTTTCAAACTTTTTGGGGATCTTTGCATTTGTTGAATAAGGAGATTCAATACACATCTCTGCTGGAACGAACTCTAAATTTGCCAATCCATCATACCATTCAACATCAGAAAAACCAAGTTCATCTATGTTATTATAAAGATAATTAACTATAGTTGCAGCACGATATAACAGGTTGTATAGGGGTCTTCGATCGTGAGTATACTTTACAATCGCTCCTGCACATTCGAGAAAAGTTCGTTGATTTACTTCATATTTAAATCCCATTCTTTTAAGAATATTTAAACAATAATCATCATTTTGAATGTCATCGTGGAGAAATAGATCCGATTCTTCAAAAGTAATTTGAAATAATTGAATTCTATAATCGTAAAGATTCCTTGCGTTTTTAAGTTTCTTTGTTTTTTTATTTGGAAATATAGCTTTATCTTTGATCCAACTCTCAGCTCGGCTGAATTCTTTCGATTTTAAAACGCTTATAATGAATTTAATGTGATTCTCATGACATTCCCTTGGAAGTTCATAATAATTTTGTAAATAATTAACAAGATCTATGTAAGGAGTATCCAATGCTTTCAGTATCTTTTTACGATGTTCTTTTTTAGGGTTAATGAATTGTTTATTTGAATAGTTTTTAAAATTCATTGCAATGCCATCTGGTGGGAGGAACCCATTAGCTGAACTCGTAAACTGTCCACATGAAGTGGGCCAAATTGGTAACTTACGTAAAATATCTTTAAATTCAGTTTTTACTATAAGGCAAATTTATAAATGCAATTAATTATAAGATATTTGATTTGATATGAATGATATTCGTTATATATTTACCTATTGTTCCGTCACTTAAACTAAACCTATTCCAATTTTCAATAATAAAATTTCTTAACGCCTTAATCTTAGATTTATCATTCAAAACGTCAAAGGTTTTGCCATTTTGTTCTGCATGATGTATTGATTTTAAAACTTCTTCTGGTGTCCATTTATAGATATAGTCATTTAATTTTTCATTCCAAGGATGATTAGTAAATCTAATTCCTAAAGCTTCAAGTATTTTAATCAATTCTTCATAATGCGTGTCATCTTTAGGTAATTCCATTAAGGGATGTCCTGGGTCTAAAAATGTCAATTCTTTTGTTGGACGTATAACCTCTAAAAGTGGATAACGTAAAAATCTTTCCAAACTAACGTTTGATTCCAAAATAAATTTCCAAATTTTGTTTAACCAAATTTTATTGGGAATGTCCATTGATTCAGGATCCCAATTTGGTATTTTCCGCCCAAATGGAATTTCATATTGTAAAAGATTCCCAAGAGATATGGCATTAAATTTTCTTACATTGGTTTTCTGTTGAAATTCATTACTTTCAAAAATTTGTTTCAATTTATCATCATCACTATATATATCATGAACAAAATTGGATAAATCCACATTTGGCACCAAATTACGTTCTTCAACTGTTGCCATATATCTTTGCTTAGATCGTTTATCAAATTTGCCCCAAGTCATATCAGCAAGTGGAATCAAATTAATATCATGTAAATCTTCATAATCATTATCTTCTAAAATAAATAAAAGCAACTTTATCAATTGTTCATCGCTAAATTGGTTTGAGAGATCTATGTTCCGGAGATTTTCCCTAACCATTTCTGCAGGGATCGGAGCCCATTCAACACCTACATTTTTTAAATCATCTAACATTTCTGATGGTAAATGCACACTGTTCACACTACTATATTCAGAAAGTATGCGAATGATAAATGCATCACTATCAAAGAACGCTTCTTTCAAAGAGACATATGATCCATTTCCATTAGCTGATCGAAAGAGAGGCTTATCTATTGGAAGATTTTTAAGAACTCTCTTACCAAATTGTATTATATAAGTAGCAGCCTTTTCTTTGTTATGTGGTAAAGGCCACAAATCTTTCAAAATTTGCTCGTGATTGATGTTATTATCGATAAAATATTCTACGACATCCACTAAAAATTTTGCATATATAATAGGCAAAACTTCTAACAGCAAATGTTTATTCCATGATAACTTAGATTTATCCATTTCAACCAATGAATCATCATCTAAAAGAACCGTAGATCTATCTGATGATACTGCCCAGTCCCCATTAAGATGTACCGGTAGGTGAGTCATTTGAGGTAGTGGTAAATAACAATATAATCGTCCATCCACTGCTCTTTCAGTTGGATGTAAAGGAAGTGAAGCAGCAACGCCTCCCCGTAGTAACATTCGATGACATTTTGCGAATTTAGTTAATTCTTCCGACTCAACAGAAACTCCTCCGATGCATACTTGCCATAACTTTGAACTTATTTCAATACCATCTTGAAATTCTATGTTTAAACAAAATGAAGTAAATTCTTCGTTTGTATGATGCCTTATCTTTTGAATTTCCTCATCATTATTAGTTATATCAATTTTCCATAACAATTCAGTTTGATTAGGTTGAGAAGTTTTAGATAACTTTTTAACTTCAAAAGATTGGATATTTCGAAAAAAGATCAATTCGGAAATTGCATTTGACTTTAATTTTTCTAAAAAGTTTAAAATATCCGAGATATTGAACATTTCATCACAAATTTCGCTTCTAAAAATACGAAGTGGAAGTCTGAATAATGTTCCTTTATATTCTTGATCAAATCTACAACCTTCTATTCCAACATATGGTGCTAATTGATCATTGAATAAATTTCTAAAATTTTCATCAAGAAAATTAATTTGAATACCACGTTGTTTTGGAAGAAATTTTTCATGTGGATCCAAAAATGAGATATATTTGCCACTAACAAAACTAGGAACATCAGTAAAATGAAAACATGAATTAAATCCAATTCCAAATTTTCCAATCTTTGTAGAATCATCACGTTTTCCACCCTCATGAATATTAAGTAGAGAATTAAAATCATGTTTATTGAACATTCCATCATTATATATCCAGATTGCTGGACCTTGCCAAATTGCCATTTCTTTGGTTATTAAAGATTCACATTTTTGATTCATTGAACGCTCATCAACCGTAACACTTTAAAAATTTAAGAGATTATAATAAATATTTGATACTTGTAAAATGAACTATTGTAATATAGTTACCGAAAAATTTTGGCCCCCGCATCATCTGCATTTTGTAAGAATTCACCTACAAAATTTGAATTTTATAAAAAGAATCAATAATTTATATCTAAAGTGTTCTATTACTTTAAATTAATGTTTTAAATAATATTAGCCGACCGAGACAATTTTTGTTTTGTCAGATAATGTGACTAAACTAGCCTAGAAATGACTGTTGTAGTCGACTTAAACACTGCTTTAGACTCATTAATAAAAATTTTTTATTACTTACGAAATACAGATTCATATGGATAATCCTGTGAAAATATAAATAATTATATTAATCCGTTTAAAAGTATAACAAAGTCAAAAATTTTAACAATACCTTTATAATACTCTTAATTAAATTAATCAATTTAGAGCTTTGTCCATATGGCTTTACTCTGTCAGATAGTAAAAAATTATTCCTTTCTTGAGACATCTTGGTAATATTTTTTGATCGGTCCTGAATAGATATAAATGGTATTCTTAGTAACGATACATAATTAAAACGTTAACCTGTTACGTATATCGGAAAAGCATTACGTACAAAATATCGATATCTATTGATTGGGTAAGTTTAGTTGATAGTTCCAGATACGTACGTGCGTATTAACTAAAACTTTATTTGTTTGATAATTTTTATTCTTACTGAAAATGAGTAAACAATTGATGTACAAAGTTTGATCCCATAAATAGCAACAATAACTGCGCCAGGTATCACAGTAATCGGCTAAATCAATATTAATATGAAGTTGTTACCACGAATGATTGAATACAGTACATCTATTTTTATGGTTGATACTGTAATGAATTCTCGTTATGGTTAGTAATTATTTAATAATATCATTAAGAAATTGATGAAGTAATACTTATCTGATTGCATGTGCACTTTCATGAGATATTAGCTAGATTAAAAACAGCAGAGACAGTGCCCGATCCAGAGTGAATCCCTCTCTCCTGTGATCAATCACAAATTAAATTATTTATATTGGATAATCCCTCACCAGTTTTAATATATGTGTAACATTAACGGTCTCTGCTGTTTATCTAGCTAAAGCTAGATTAGATCCAATACTGGTTTTAAACTAGTAACGAGGGTCTGCACAACCAACAGGATTGCTTTCTGATACATCATACTCTTCAGAATTACGTACATCGTCGGAAAAAATTTCGGGTAACGAACAAATTTTTTAATTTGTCCCAGAATTTATGAGAACAGCCATAAGTAAAAATTATTCTACCAGCAGGATCGTTGGCCTAAATTAAGTTAATGCGGGACACTTGCAATTAACTACGTAGTTACGTACGTACGTACTTTGTAGTAATTACGTACTATTTGTTTGTATTAAAATTTTTAATGTTATATATAATTTCTTAAAGCGTTACTGTATAATAGTAATACGTCTACTATTTAATTTCACAAGTTTCAGTAAAGTATTAACGCTAACTTCAACATTTAGGTGGTGGTTATCAGGTTAACATTAATGCTGTAATAATTAATGCTGTGCGATATGAAATATGTAATAATTTTTATCGGTCGAGATAAAATTTTAAGAAATCGTATGGAATAAAAAATTGTTAAGTTTTAAATAACACAGATTAGTAGCATGCCCCTTACTGACAATATAAATTATGAAAAAGAATTCCATATAATACCGATTAAAAGTAAACTCTGGTATTTTAGATAAAATACGTATAAGTAACTTCATTTTATCCCAAAAATTTCGCATTTATTCAATAATATATGATATTAAATACACAGTTATTATGACTATACAAATATCAAAAATTTTCGATATTTTTTATAAGTAAACAACTAATGACATATAATACAGATTGATCGATAGGATTTCTAGAAAGATTTAAAGAGGTTAAAGAGGTATTATGATGAAGAGCCTCAGCTAATGCCTTTCCTACATCCGAACCAAGTTGATTATGACAAAGATTCAAACAAGTTAAAGTATTATTTTTGTAAAGAGCATCTGCTAATGCTTTCCCACCTTCCTTACGAATTTTATTCGTTCGAAGATCTAGGTAAGTCAAAGTCTTATTTACTCCAAGAGCTATCGCCATTGCTTGCCCACCTTCAGGACCCAGATGATTATTATAAAGATCCAAATAAATTAAAGTATTATTTTTATAAAGGGATATTGCTAACAATTTTCCTACTTCCGAGTCAAATTTATTATAAGAAAGATACAAGTGAGTTAAAGTATTATTCTCAAAAAGAGCTTTTGCAAGAGCTTTTCCAGCTTCAGGACCAAGCTGATTATTTCCAAGATTTAAATGAGTCAAAGTAGTGTTTACATAAAGAACAGCTACTAAAGCTTTTCCACCATCAATACCCAATTGATTATTATAAAGAACTAACTCAGTCAAAGTAGTGTTCTTATAAAGAGCTTCAGCTATTACTTTTCCACCTTCGGGACCAAATTGATTATTATAAAGACTTAAAGAAGTCAGAGAGGTGTTTTTATAAAGAACCTTTGCTATTTCAGTACATCCTACATGGCCAAGTTGATTAGAACCAAGTTTTAAGGAAGTCAAAGTAGTGTTTTTATAAAGAGCCTCAGCTAATGCAGTACACCCTATAGAACCAATATGACACTTGGAAATACTAAGATAATTGAGAGTAGTATTTGTACAAAGTATATTTGCTAATTCTTTTCCAGTCTCAGGACCGAGTTGATTGTTATAAAAACGTAACCCGGATATGGTAGTATTTTTACGAAGAGCTTTTGCTAATGTAATTCCAACTTTAGCACTAAATTGATTGTTATAAAGACTAAAGAATTTTAAGGTAGTGTTCTTATAAAAAGCAACAGCTAATTCATCACCGCCTTCAGTACAAATTTTATTATTTCTAATTTCTAAAGAAGTTAAAGTAGTGTTCATGCAAAGAAATTTTGCTATTGCTTTTATATCCTCAGATTTAAGTTCATTCCTTGATAATGTTAAAGAAGTTAACGTTGAGCTTTTGTCAAGAATTGATTTTAATAAATTTATTGTTTTACCGTGAATGCATAAATTTTTAAGTTTATCACAAGTTCGTA